CACTGCGAATCAGAATTAGTTCAGCTCTATCTGCTCCCTCACCCTGAGCACCCAGCCACCAGCCACATACGTCAAAGGCAATTTCCATCCAATTTGGCAGGTGGCGGCGTGTGGGGAGGGACGTACACGGCCATGAAGCAGGCGCCCTCTGAAGGGGGGGCCAGGGGGAAGATACTGGAGCTAAACATCTGTTCCAACAGCGTCCGACTCTTCGTAGGAACCCAGAGGTTTCTGGTTGGGTGTGGCTAAGTAGGAGAGGCTGGTTCCGGAGGCAGGTGGGTCCCCAATGAGGGGGTGGCTCAGCTCGGCGGAGATGGTGCCAGGAAGAGCAACGGGCAGAGAGAGGCTGCAGGGGACGCTGGTTTCTGGGGCTGTGGGTTGGGACAGCATAGCCGGTCCTCCCCCAGATGCACGCACACCCTTCCTTTGCCTTCCCAGGGCCTCCCGCCCTTGGGAGCCCAGTCTCGCCTTAGACCTCCTCCAGGCTGGAGAGCTGGCTGTGAGGCCCACAGCATGGGCAGGGCAGCCAAGGGGGTCCTGTGGAACCACACGTGATGGATGGTCCCCCTCCCTGCTGAGGGCTGATGCCACTCAGACACAGCCTCCCCGGGGAGGGACAAGGTGCTGTCACGTGATGAGCATTTTCTTTTGAATTGAGACCATTTTAATGTATCACACTTGTAACCACGAATGATAAAATGCTCAGCTTCTTAACAGTTTACACAGCAAGCCCCTGCACTGAAACATTTACCTGACCAGGTAACACACATTTATTCTTTCTTTTTTTTATTTTTTTAAATATTTTATTGATTTTTCACAGAGAGGAAGGGAGAGGGATAGATAGTTAGAAACCTCAATGAGAGAGAAACATCGACCAGCTGCCTCCTGCACACCTCCCACCGGAGATGTGCCCACAACCAAGGTACATGCCCTTGGCTGGAATCGAACCTGGGACCTTTCAGTCCGCAGACCGATGCTCTATCCACTGAGCCAAACCGGTTTCGGCCAACACACATTTATTCTTTAAACAGAATATTAGGGGGCAAACGTGTTCACACCTGGGAAATGCTCTATATTTGAAGTCTTGCTTAGAAAGTCCTCTTTTCAAGTGGCTACGTGACCATCTTCTGAAAACTAATGCTTACACCCCAGTATCTTGCGCTGTATTTGCCCACATGAGGGCTGCAAGGTGAAAGCTGATTGTGAGAGGACCCAAGTCCCAATCTGACAAATACGACACGTCTGCATGCTTTCCTGGTTGTTTTGTTCTCGGCAGCCCTCCCCCCTCCTCCTTTGTATATTTTTAAAATTGTATTTTTAAGCCCAGTTTACAATCAGTAATATTTTGTATTAGTTTCTGGCATACAGCATGGTGGTGAGACAATCACATACCTTATAAGAGGTCCCCCTGATAGTTCCAGTCCCCACCGGGCTCCAAACACAATTGTCACAATATGGTTGGCTGTGTTCCCTACACTGAACTGTACGCCAGTCCTGACCATTTGCCTCTGAGATCGCGGTCTAACCCCAGTGGGGACGATGTCAAAAGCCTAATCGGAGGCCCTTTGGTAGACTGAAGTCTGAGACCAATGGGCCTTCCATCGCCCCCACCCGCCACTGGGTGGTGAGCTCTGCTCTGCACACTCACACACACACACACACACACACACAGGCCTCCTGGCTCCTGCCCCTCCCCCATTCCCTCTGCTTCCCAGGGAAGGACAGGCAGCCAGAGGCCCTTTGGCAGGACCGAGGGTTCGAGGGTTTGGTGCTTTCTCATCCGGTCCTTTCTGGTCACAGACTCTAATGCAGGTCATTCCAGGACGCCTGGTAACCTGCGGGATGAATAGCAGCCTTGAGGGCAGCTGTGGGGACTTAATGGAATTGCGGGAAGCCATTGGCCCAGGAGGCCACTTGGGTTGGGTCACGGCTGCCACTTAGCTATGCAAGCTGCACCCTGCACCGCTCGGTGCCGTTTCAGCCTCCAGTCCTCAGAGAAACAGCTCTTAATACATGCCTGGCAGAGCCCAGTCACGTGTCTACACAGGGATTCACCCAGGGAATGTGCCACCCCGCAGATGCCAGGCCTCTTTTCTAGAACGTAAAGGCCTGCTCCCAGTTTGCCGCAAGAATCCTAGAAGCCGGCAACCAAGGGCTCATGATGCACATGATTACCCGCCAGGATCACCCTGATCTGTCCCCCTGCTTTTGTGACCTCACGTCTTGCCTCCGTCTTTCTAGTGCCTCAGGCTGGAACTTCTGTCTGGGCTGGTGGGACATCCAAGGACCCTCAAACCAGGCCCCTGTGCCAAGGCGGGCAGAGGATGGAGAGGAGGTCCCAGGGAACCTTGGGCTCTGGGCTCTGCCTTTTCAGATGCTAGTCTAGGCGTTTCATAAAAATAAACAACAGGTGGATATACAATGACTGGTGGAATCTAGCAACATAACAATGAAAACAGAAAATAATTTTGGAAACACGTATGACAACTCTCCTATCTAATAAAGAAGGAATATGGTAATTGACTACCCCAACCACCCTTAAAGATGGCAGCACCCACAGCCAATAAGGAGGGAATATGCTAATTGACTGTCACGCCCTCAAAGATGGTGGCACCCAGTCCCCTCAGTCCCAGGTAGTAGGTGCAGGGCAAGGCACCCAGTGCTGGCCCAAGGCACAGGCAAGTCTTGGATGGCAGCTATCCAGCTGCCCAGGGCCACCCGAGGCTCAGGTAACCAGGGCTGACCAAGGCTTGCACTGAGGGCAGTGGCAGCAGCAGAGGTGTGATGGGTTGTCACCTTCCCCTGATCACTGGGTTGCCTCCTGAGGGCTCCTGGACTGTGAGAGGGGGCAGGCTAGGCTAAGGGACCCCCCTTCCAGTGCATGAATTTTCATGCACCAGGCCTCTAGTGTAATATATAATTTATAATCACAGGCATTTTAAAAAATGCTTCTGAACCTATTACATATATATGTGTGTGTGTGTGTGTCCCCAAAACTCTATACACACTTTGAATGATTATAGTTAGTGTTTATTAACATACAGTTTATTTTCAAAATTTAGAAGAATCTATAGAAATAAATAACCTCTGTGGTCAATGCCTGTTTTCAAACTGTTGACTGTTCTGTTCCAGACTCTGCTGATAACAACAGATTTGCAACATCAAGAATCATTTCATTGTGTGCCTTCAACTCATCAAGTGTTGCTGGTTTTGTACCCTAAACTGTGTCTTTTATGTACCCCCATAAAAAAAAAAGTCTAGTGGCGCTTTAGGATACATTTTCTTTGTTCAAAGCTTAGTTTCAAATCAGTTAAACCTGAAAAGGAGTGAAAATTAAGTGCGTTATCACTGTTAAAGCTCTCCTCTAACGGGTCTGTGGTCATCTCAGGGGTAACTGGATTCAGACACCCCCATACTTGGAAAAGCAACATCCACATTTCATTTCTCGTTGAAAAACAAACAAATAAACAAACAACTGGGAGGTGTGTGGGGTGGTGAGGCTTCCGTATTCACCGTCACTCAAATTCTTATCAACCAAGAAAGAATAGCCTATGTTTTACTACTTCTTCCTTAAATACATATGTTTAAGTAAATCATACTAACTTTATATTTCCTTGATAGAAATACTAAAATACTAGCTTCTTTGGATAGAAGCTAAGGTTTAGAGTTTGTTGTTTGTGTGTGACAGAGGTGCTTGTAACTTAAGTGAGATAGGGGATGGTGACCTAAAATTATTATGGCTATTAACTTACATGTGGCCTTTGTTACAAAGCTGAGATGCAGCCCGATGTTTTTCCACTTGAAGTATATATCTGATAAAAAGAATTCTATCCTTAGAGAGTACTGCTGACCCTTGAATGATGTGGAGGTTAGGAGCAACAATCTTCAGGAAGTTGAAGATCACGCATATAACTAGCTGTATTCATGAATGGAAGGGCTTATGTTGAGATAGGCTCTGTGGTTGGTCAGGACCATCTGCTGGCTGCACGGGGTACTGCAGCTCAGCTGTTTTTCACACTGAGCAGTGAATTCCTCAGGAGAAACCCCAAGAGGAGAAATCCCTGTGGTCAAAGGGAAGATAAAAACTTTGGATGGATCGACAGTGGACAAACAATGCCTCAGTCAAGAAGGTACCATAGGGATTCCAAGATCTTAGAACTAATATAAAACCGCCTCATTCTGTCTTTTGGGGACTCCAGTTTCCATAAGAAAAATGTCAGTCATGTGTTAAAATACTAGATAATGTGTTATTATTACCCATTCTTCGTACGAATTTTCAATGTATTCCTTCGGGAGGTTCCCCTCACCCCAATCAGGATACATAAACAGTTTTATAATGGGATGGAAAAGGTTCACATTCAGAAATTTCTTTTAGTTGGCTGTCGGAACACACCTCTCTTCCTAAAAGAAAGAAATCTGCCAGGGCTGTGTGGCTCAATGATTGGGCATCCACCTATGAACCAGGGGGTCTTAATTCCATTCCTGGTCACATGCCATGTTTCTGTCTCTGATGTTTCTGTCTCTCCCCCTCTCCCTTTCTCTCTGAAATCAATAAAATATATATATTAAAAAAAACAGTAAAAGAAATCCTTCCATTGGGTCAACTTTATCATCACACTCCTTTTATTCTCAATGCTGATAACCCCATCTATTTTAGCCACTGATTTTTCTTTCTACTTCTTCCTCTTTTTTTATTTCCTATAACAAAATGAAGGTGGGAGGGTAGGAAAAAAATAAAAAACAACAAAAGAAGAAGACACTCCAGAGCATACAGGCAGCTTTATTGAGTTAGTGGCATGCGGGGAAGTCCTCCCCCATCAGCAAGAGCAGGCATTAGAGTGCGGGGTCCGAGGGAGGGGAGGCTGGGAGAGGTCGGGAGGGCCCGAGGCTGGGTCTGGTCACTTGGTGACGTGCAGAGCTCTCCTCTAGGGGGTCTGTAGCTCATCTCAGGGGCAACAGGATTCAGACGCTCCCATACCTGGAAAAGCAACCTTCACACTTCATTTCTCCCTGAAAAAAGAAATGGGGAGCAGAAGGAAGTGAGGGCTGTGTAGTCGCCAACACTCAAATTCTTATCAAAGCAGAAAGAGCGCCCTCCAAAGGAAAACCGGGGTCCCGGTGGTGTCCCGGCCTCGTGTCGGACCCTGGCCGTCATTCCCAGACTGGGTACTCGGCCCTTTCTTTGGCTCCCAGGGACCTGTGGGGCCCGGAAGGACGGAAGCGAAGACCCGCACACTCACTGGGCATTCTGGCGATACTCCAGCAGGGCTTTCTCGGCCACGGTCTCCATGAACTTAGAGTTGTGCATGGAGACTTCTTCTGGGACGTTCACGGTGATGGGGTCAGAATTGAAGAGCGTCAGGATCACCTTCCTGATGCCGTAGGGGACGCTAGGGTCGGAGCTGTGGGAAGCCACCTGGGCGGAGGGAGGGTGGGACAAGGGCTGAGACACAGGCCAACTTCCATGAGTTTTGCAACAAAAGTCAGGCCTACATCTGGACCCGTGACGCCTTTGCTTTTGACTAATCTGGACGTGAACCGCTTACTGGAAAGAAATGCCGCTACTCAGAGGCACTTGGTAGGTATAATGTCACCGAAAAGGACCAGCCCGGGGAACCCCACAGAGGGAAAGATGATTTCCGAGCCACCGTGTTTCCTTTGGGCAGCCAGAAAATTAATCAGGGAAAGAAAATAGAGCCCTAGCTGGTTTGGCTTAGTGGATAGAGCATTGGCCTGCAGACGGAAGGGTCCCAGGTTTGATTCTAGTCAAGGGCACATGCCCAGGTTGTGGGCTTGATCCCCAGTAGGGGGCGTGCAGAAGGAAGCCAATCAATGATTCTCATCGTTGATGTTTCTCTCTTTCTCTCTCTCCTTCTCCTTTCCTCTCTGAAATCAATAAAAATATGTTTAAAAAAAATAAAACAGGAAGGTTCCCAGTGCTGGAGGGGATCTTTTCATCATGGACACAGGAGGCTGCCACAATTTACGAGCCCCCAGCCCACACAGCACCGGGCAGGAGGGGCAGCTTCATGGGAAGAGCATAGAGTCCCAGCCAAGCAGACAGGCTCCGTCAGTCAGTCGAGGCACCTGTCAGTCATCTGGCCTTGACCATGCTCTCGAACCTCTCGCACTCTCCTCATCCATAAAATGGGGTTGTGACATTGCACCTCTGGGTGATGAGGCTCGCAGGCAACGATGCACATAAAGACCATATGTTTCCAGTCACAGGACAAACACTTCACGGAAAGAGTAAATCTTCATCCCGTTTTGCCCCCAGGGAGGGCCACATCATCCTCTCTGGACCACAGCCGCGGGAGAGACTCACCGTGGTGACGTGGAGGGCGTAGTCCTGGTCCTCCCTCTGCGTGAGGTTGGCCAGCTGGGACACCCAGCTGAACTGCTCATTGAGCTGCTTGATCAGAGCGGAGGTGTTGAGCATCTTCTGCTGGTAGGACCGCAGCAGCTCCTCGTACTGCCTGCTTAGCTTCTCCGCCAGCTCCAGGGAGCTGTTCAGCTCCTCGCGCAGCAGGCTCTGCGTGGGGTTGCTGCCGGAGCAGTCTACCCCGACACGGAAAACACAGAAGTCAAACGGGGAAGACGCATGATGGAAATCAGTTCACGGAGCCAGGACCCAAAGCAGAGCCGGTTGTCGGTCCCCAAACCATCTCTCATCAGCCCGTGACGACAGAAAGAGCTCGCCCCAGCATGTGACCCAGCAGGTGGGTTCCCTCCTTGAGAACGGCTCCTTCTGGAAAACTGTCAATGGGCCTCAACAGTGTGCTCAGTGACATCTCTGGAGACGGGGGGACGAGCGGAGCCGGCCACCCTCGGCGAAGCATGGAACTCAGAGCTTCGTGTGCTCAGATCTAAGGTCACTCTTCTGCCCTAGGCCCCCCATGAGTCATTTCCGGAGGGGGGGCTGTCATGTGCAGTTACTATGTATGTGGCACTCAGATACCACATAAGTGCTTTGGATGTCCATTATCTGTAATAATCAGGTGTATCCTAAGAACTACCAATAATAAATTTTATTTATTTATTTATTTATTTATTTATTTATTTATTTATTTATTTATTTTACCAAGAATGAAACTGAGACCCACACTTGTTTGAAGTTATAGAATAAACCATCTGTGGGACCAGAATCGAACCAGGGTTTTAACTCCTAAACTTAGACTCTTCCTATTCGGAGTCTGTGGTCTGGAAAATTCTCCAAGCTTGTCTTCTGGCCGTGGAGGCAGAGTTGGAAAATTCTGCTCTAAGACTTCATTTAGCAGAACAGCAGCTGGTGGCTGGGGTCCTGACTTCCTACCCACCCCTGTGGCTGGTCACCAAGTTCACCGGTGGAGCAGGGAAGATAGAGTTCACTTTTTCTGGGGCCTGAGCGAGGGCCCACTGCAGGGTTGATAAGAGTTGGCAACTACCCACCATCTCTAAAAACTATTCTCTTTTTTCTCTCACTACATTAAAAAACATATATATTCCAAGGAGAGCACATCAAACCGACACAAGTCAGGGGAAAGGAGATCTTTTCGCACTAAAGATTGGTGATCATTTCTATTAAATGATTATATGTAGTCCTTTCTATCCATGACTCACCTGTATTATAACAAATACTCATCTGTATTATAATATACTCATCTGTATTATAATAAAATAAATGTTAGGTGGGGCAAGAAACAGAGTCACTAACAAGAAGCCAGGTTGGAAAAGATAGATAATGAATAACCTTAACTTTGGTACCAGGAAATAATTTAAAAATCAGAAAAGTCATTGAGAACAGAGACTCAGTCTAGAGAGGGTGGGGACTGATAGGAGTGGGGGAGCTACTGACATCTAGTGGTAAGAGGCCAGGGATGCTGCTAAACATCCTACAGGGCAGAAGACAGCCCTCAACGACAAAGAATGATCTGGACTAAAATGTTATACCAGGGGGATGAGTGGGAGGGAGGGAGGGGTGTAAAAAAAATCAATAAAATATGTAAAAAAATCAATAAAATATGAAAAAAAATAAAGTGACCCTTATGCAAAAAAAAAAAAAAATGTTATACCAGGGAAGAAATAGAGAAATCCCGATCCAGAGTTCCTGGCAATGCCTGCTTGTATAATATTTGCAAGAACCTTAAATAAGAGGCCATCGGTGTAGACAAGAAGGTGGCTGTGTAGGTCAGCTGTGATCAGTGACCATCGAAGCCTAGGCAACCATGTGTCTTTCCTTCTGGCCTTACCATGACTAACTTTCTGATGGTGAGGTACTATGTCATTTATGCTATTCTAACTATGATATTGTATGGGAAGAGCCCAAGTGGCATGGCTGGGTATTCATCCATCAGTCCCCTATGACACTTGTGTTTATTTTGCAGTGGCTTCTAAAAGTATAGGGATAGGGCCAGACTATTTAGCCAGACTCTGAAGGCCTGCCATGGCAAACACACATATTAAGTAAGAGAAAGACCACAACATTGATCCTTTATTTACAAGGGAAACCATTAACTCATGCTGAGCATAGACTACTGCAGGCCAGAAAGTTTCTAGATGCTTTTAGAACTGTTATCTCAAAGCAGGAAGGAACTAGCCAATGTCCAGACCTGATACAGCCCAGGGGAACAATTTCCTTTCCCTCAGAGATCAACCTAGCAGAGGCCACGGGACCACCGTCATTGAGCCAGGGTTGGCTGAGGAACCACCATCATTGACCCAGGGATGCTTAGGGCAAACCCTAAAGAGCTGGTTAAGAGCACATCCAAACACCGAGGTCCCCCACGTGGGGTGTCCTGTAATCTTGGGGAGTTACTTAACCTCTCTTTGACTGAGTTTCTACCTCTGTAAGATAGGGACATTCATTGTATCCAACTAAGGGTCATTTTGAGGAAATTAGTAACTGTTTGCGAAGTGTTTAGAACAGTATCTGGCACATGGTAGGTGTTTGCTAAACAGAAAACATACTATTTAAAATGTTACTGGCTGCTGGAAAAAACAAGGGTGCCTACTATGCTTAGCCCTTGGGGAAAGAATGATGGGGAACTCAAAGATATGGCTTTTCCAAAAAAGAACAAAAAACAAAAAAACATTAACAGTCTCTCCCACGACTTCCTGCTGGCCAGGTGCTGGATGACTTGGTGGGCACTTTATTAATAGTATGTTATCCAACTTCTGATTTCATGGGCAACTCTGCACCCTAACTCTTGTCTACAGATAGGGGCCCAGGTGGAAGAAGGCAAACAACCTCCCCTGGTGCCACAGCCAGAAAGCAGCAGAGCTGAGACTTGAACCCCCATCATCTGACCAATGAAGGCAGCTCCACGGAGGTGCCAGGGCCAAGGCTCCCAGACTTACCCACTGACAAGATCTCCTGGCACTTGGCACACTGATCCTTCATCTTCAGGCACCCCGTAGAGTTGTGACGTATCTCCTTGCATATGGTGCGGTTATCATTGTTTTCTGGAGACACACAGGGGAAGAGGGAAATCATGTTGAAGGACCATATAGAGCAAATGCAGTGATGGGCTGCCCCAGTGTCCCTGACCCCTTCCCACACCACTGTTTGGCCCTTTGAGCTGGTTCTGCAGGCAGAGCAGGTTGGATCTGGCCTGCAGATACAGGCTCCTGATCAGGAATCCCTGCAGAAGGACAAGGAGGTAGTTTTTAGGGTTTCCCCAGCTGGGTATGACCTCCCCTGCCACCATCTCCTTCGATGAGCCCTCTCCTGCCTCAATACTCCCCTATTTGTACTTCTCTTTGGCATCATAACCCATTTTGCTCTGCATTTAACTGACTCATTTCTCTCCCCCTGATGAGTCAGCAAGCCCCTTTGAAGGCTGGAATGGGATCCTTTTTACAGCCTCCTTATAACACAGGACTCCCTCCACTCTGGATATGCAGTAGATGCTGGTTTAATTCAATATCTTCTTCTATTTCCAAATCAATTTGGTGCCAAACCTGGTGCCAGTCAGACTACAGCATTTAGGAGATGGTGTTGGCCAACCAATATCGATTGGTTCAATGAAGGAAATCATTCCTGAAAGTATAGGCTTTTCGTGTCCATATTAGACTTCATTCATTCAAAGGATATTAATTATGTGCCCATTCTCTACCAGACCCTAAGGTTATCGTCATGAACAGCTTTCTTAAGATGATATAACTTGTCGCTGATATATACATGGCATCCACAGAAAACCACCCGAGTTCCCAAGCGAAAGGGGTCTGGTTCTCTAAAGGCAGGAGTCAATCTGATGCCCAACAGTTGCTGGAAGGGGCGTGGTACCCTCCAAGTCCTGCAGAGCTAGATTTGACCAGGTCCCATTGCATCAGCTGAAACACTTTGGGTAGGATCCTTTATCTCCCTGTCACTGTTTTCTCCTCCTTAAAAAGGGTGAATATCACCTTTGCAGGAGTGCTGGGGGGAGAAGACACACGCCAAGTTCTTAGCATCGAATGGGTTTTTCAACAAGTTGCTGTTCCCATCCCTTCTTAGGAGGAAGGAGACATCTTTCTCACCTTCCGGGAATTCCACCATCGGAAAATCGAAGAGAGAGCCCTGGAATTGGCCATCCATCGCCTGCTGAGCCTGGTGTATCATGTCAAAGAAGGGCTGGAACATGTCATGGATGTTTGAGACTCCAAACATGGGGAAAGACATTATGTTTCGGGCAAAGCGGGTCTTGGGGAAAGGCCTCCTTTGGGATGAGCCAAAGGATGAAAAGTGGAAGGGATCCAGGAGTTCCCGGTTGAAGAATCTGTTGTGGAAAAGCTCGTCCATAATGCTGGACACCCTTTGGAATCTGTCCTCCATGGAGTCCAGCACGTGGGTCTGCTGCCGGTCATTCTCCAGCAGGGAGTCGATGCGGTCGCCGTTCATCCATAAGTAGAAGGGAGAGCTCTGGTTCAGGAACTCCTCCAGCTGTGCAGGCAGAATGGGGAACAGTGAGGAGACGCTCGCTAGGGTCCCACCTCCCTCTGGTTGAGACGGGCCAGGCCCAGCTCCTCACTGTATGTTGATCTCCAACAGAATCACACAGCATGTGGCTGAAGGGCCCCCTGAGACTGGCTCCCTGGTTTCTGAACTGTCAGGTCAGTGTCTTTCCATTCTACCCATCCCAACAGAGGAGAGTTTAAGAAGACCAGTGAGGCTCTAGAGCAGTGGTTCTCAACCTTTCTAATGCCGCGACCCTTTAGTACAGTTCCTCATGTTGTGGTGACCCCCAACCATAAAATTATTTTCATTGCTGCTTCTTAATTGTAATTTTGCTATTGTTAACGAATCCTAATGTAAATATCTGTGTTTTCCGATGGTCTTAGGCTCTACGGCAGCAGTTCTCTAAGAGAACCGCTAGCAGGGTCATCAGAAAATATAGATATTTACATTACGATTCATTAACAGTAGCAAAATTTCTAACCAAGAGCTCCTAAAACCCTCTGAATTTCCTATGATGAGAACAGTAAAGGTATCTTTTATGATTTTCATGAGGCGACTTTTAGAAAACACTCTGAAGGAGGGAGGCTGGGGAAGGGAACCTCAATTAGAAGCTTGAAACGTTTAGTCCCACACTCTGATTTCTAGGGAGGGGAGCGGAGCTGGAGGCTGAATCCGTCTCCAATGGCCAACGTTGCTTATGTTAATGAGCCTCCATAAAAACCCAAAGGACAAGATCCCCAGAGCATGTGGGGCTGTTGAACACGTAGAGATTTGGAGAGAGTGGTGCCCCTGAGAGTGCATGGGAGCTACCTGCCCCTTTCCCATACTTTGCCCTACACATCTCTTCCATTTGGGCTATTCCTTTTATAACAAACCTGCAATCTAAGAAGTAAAATGTTTCTCCCGAGTTCCATGAGCCACTCTAGCAAGTTAGTTAAGGAGGGGCTTGTTGAAACCTCCACTCTATAGCTCAACAGTCAGCAGCACAGGGGACAACCTGGACGTGGGATTAGCCCCTGAAGGGGGTGTGGGACAGTCTTGTAGGACTGAGTCATTCACCTGTGGGCTCTGAGGCTACCTCCAGGTAGGTAGTGTCAGGACTGAGTTGAACTATAGGACACCCCGCTGGCGTGGGAGCACTCCCCCACGTCGGGATCGGGTGTGGAATAACAAAGGCATGTTTCACCAGATTCTCCTCATCCCCCACTCAAAGCCCAGGCTGCCTCCATGGCCCTTCCCCATCTCACCTGGTGGCCAACCAGCCCCGAGCTGCTCCTGCAGACGCGCGCATAGAACTTCATGCAGGTCTGCTTCAGGCAGGGCTTGCACTCCTCCCAGAGGGACATCATGGTATCATTGCACACTTCCTGGGACGCCTTCAGCTTCATTTCAGTGTCCCTGGTATCAGTTAGGGCGTCCTACAGCAGGACACAAAGCCAGGTCAGCCACACAGAACTCACAGGCTGCACCCTGCCCCAACACGCACCCTGCCTTCCACCACCCAGGCAGATGTCTCATGGCTGGCCACACGGTGTGCTCATTTCCATCCCAGCTCTGGCTCATTTGTTCCTGCTTTTGCCTCCCTGGAACTCCCTGCCCACCTCGCTTTAAATATCCTTTCATCTTCAAAACCCAATTGCTCCTTAGTCCTCCTGGCCAGTAGACCCCATGTGAACATCTCCTTCTCTGACACACACTTAGAGTCTCTACCCCAGGATTTGCCTCTCACTTTTACTTCACTTCCTATGCTCAACTTCTGGTGTCTATAGGTCATCATCCAAAGCTCCTGGATCTTGGTTTCTGTTGGGACCATGGTCCCTGGCATGCAACTGGAATAGACCAGCTTTCAAAGTCAAAGTCACCACAATCACCCAAACTCTCTCACGTGCCCCTGTCATCTGACCCCATAGTTTTATAAGAATCTATGCCAAGGAATTCATGTAATAAAGGACAAATCGGTATGCCTAAAGATCTTAGTTTCCATATGTGTTTATGGCAGTGGTCGGCAAACTGTGGCTCTCGAGGGACATGCGGCTCTTTGGCCCCTTGAATGTGGCTCTTCCACAAAATACCATAGCCTGGGCGAGTCTATTTTGAACAAGTGGCGTTAGAAGAAGTTTATGTTTAAAAAATTTGGCTCTCAAAAGAAATTTCAATTGTTGTACTGTTGAAATTTGGCTTCATTGACTAATGAGTTTGCCAATGACTGGTTTATGGCAAAAAACAAATAAAACAAACAACCAACAACCTAGAATTAATTCAGATGTAAAACTAGGGGACAAATTAAGCAAATTGTGGTACATACAAAGAGTGAATAAGTACAGCATTACAAGGGATATTTATATTAAGTTTTAATATTATAGTAAGCATATTTCATGTTAAAAATTCATGATATGTCAAAAAACCATAGAGGGGGAAAATAGTAAGAAATAGACTCAATGTTAACAGTGAATTGTCTTTAAGTACAAGGGTTATGGAAAATCTTTTCCTCCTCTACTTTTCTATATTAAAATCTTGATGAAGGAGTGTGTTGCTCTTCAAAGAGAAATAAAGTAGAGTGTGAAGGCACTCTGAAGGTCTGACCAGGAGGAGTTCCCTGCTCTGTGCTGGGGAAAGCCACCTTCCGCTGGTCACCTCCTTTCTTTCTGGTTCACATATTCTTCAATTAAGAAGTAAACGGAATCTTTTTCCAAACTTGAAGAGCTTTATTATAAAATCTAGATTGTCAAATATCAAACTCCAGCCGAAACCAGTTTGGCTCAGTGCATAGAGCATCGGCCTGTGGACTGAAAGGTCACGGGTTGATTTCGGTACCTTGGTTGTGGGCACATCCCCAGTGAGGGGTGTGCAAGAGGCAACTGGTCGATGTTTCTCTCTCATCGATGTTTCTAACTCTCTATCTCTCTCAATTCCTCTCTGTGTAAAATCAAGAAAATATACTTTAAAAAAATATATCAAACTCCAACATTAACCACAAAAATTCTAGAGTGAGACGTGCCCCTCCCACATGAGCGACTTGAGGACTCTCCCAGACGGTGAGAATGAACCCTGAGGCCCAGGAAGGACAAAAAGCCTCAAAGAAAGTGAGAGCTGCACCCGGGCCAGCATTTGCTGAAGTGGCTCCCATGAAACTGGGCTAAAAGCTGTCCAGAAAATAAAAATGGGCTTCCTGTTCAATTGGATTGGGAAAACACTGGGTTAAATAAAGTTACATAGGTTTTTCTTCTTCTTTTTTTTTTTTAAATTGTTTGACACTATCACAGATGTCCCCCACTCCCTCTCCCCAAAACCGGTTTTTCCTACATAGGATTCTCTACTGAGAACTTTTCAGAGCCTCTATAGTGCTTTTACTATGCATTATAGATCATGAAGGTGGCAGGTGCCCCCATCTTAGAGTCTCCTTCATTAGGGGTAGGATGGCAATGGGAGTAGGGTTTTAGGATACCCTTAAGAAGACTCTTGATTTTTTTAAATACATTGTTCGTTGAATTATAGTGTTTTAGTTTTGCTGAATCATTGAGCGCAGCCTAGAGCTACTGAGTTCACTGTTGGACTTAGCTGTTTCTTTTATTAAGTAGTTCAGAACGCTAGAAAGACATTGAGGCAACAAAGTGTGTGCCTGCCTTAACCCCACGGTATCGCCCCTACTAGATAAGCTTTCTGAAAGTAGGGTGCCTCCCCCTTTTACCCCATGAAAGACCCTATCCAAAGCCTACCTTGGAGCGTGCCCATACTCAGAGTTGGGAAAAATCTATTGAAGTGAATCTGGGTATCAGGCCCTGAGCCAGGCTGGTAACAAAAGCGGATCCAAGATCTCACCCTTTGAAGCTTCCAAAAGCAAATAAACCCTCCCTATTTCTTAACCAGGGTCTCGGTGTCAGGTGACACAGCTCTGGAAAGACAGAGGGCAACCCAGCAGGACACCCCATGAGGAGCCAGGACCCCTCCCTGCCCCCTTCCAGCAGGGGGCGCCCAAGTAGGGCCATGCTCGCTGGGCTCTTCCTTACCTCTTTCTTCTTCTTGGCCTCTTCCAAGCTGAGGAGCAGCGATTTGCGCTCATCGTTGGTGTGGTCTATTAGAGACTTGATATGTTTCACCTCCTTGAAGGCATTTTTAATTTCCTTATTGACGTACTTACTCCCCTCGGTGGACATTTCTGCAAGAGAGAAGGGTGGGGAAGTAGAATGAGGCCAGAGGAAGAGATGGCGCTGGGGGCCGGTATAACCCTGGAACCAGCTGGAATGGTCAGAAAGACAGTGGGTCCAGGGGCTTCCAGCTGGGAAGCCCCTGGCAGGCAGCCTGTGGGCCCCAGCTTTCCCTGACACGGGTTCCCATCCCAGGACTCCCTGTGGGCCCGGAGTCCCAGAATCCAGGGCACCAACTGTTCAGAAACACACCCCCTCAGAGCAGGCACAGCCCAGAGGAGGACAGAGGCACTAACGCCCTACGGGCCGGGCGCCGAGCCTGCCCGGCCGCAGGAGAAAATTTCCAAGGGGGAAAAAAATCCTGGACGAGTAAGCGCTTACACATCGAAATGGGGAATGTTATTCTTTTGGACACAAGCCTTTCTGGATTTGGGTTTCACCAAACATCTGAACTTCTTTTCTCCAGTTCAGAGAGATGGAGACACAAAGATGAATTAACAGCACGGTTCCTCACGGAGACTGTGACCAAGACAGAACACCACGTGACAAATGCATGGAGGCGATGTCACTGGAGCACCAGCTCTGGGGAAGCGCTGAGCCAGACCCCTCGTGTGCATTTCCTGTGACATCCCGGCACGCGCAGTGAGATCCAGACACCTGCCCAGGCTCACACAGCAGGGCCAGGCCCAGACCCAGGTCTGATCTCAAGGTTGAGGTTTGTCACTACTACCCAGGGGGCCACTCAGCTAGCAGGAGGAGAGTGGGCTGGAGGGAGATGGGCTTTAGGAAAGGCCTGGAGAATGGGACCACCCGCGAGGCTCTGACGGAGGATGGCCTCGTTTCAACCCGTAATCCTCCTTCCCTGTGCGCAGGGAATGCGGAGCCCGGGTGCCTGGGTGGGAAGGCGGAGATACACGTATTCAATGCGATGGAAACTGAAAGAGGAGAGCTCCCCGAAGACTCCAAGGACCCAGGCTTTACGGGCCTCCATGGAGGAGGTGTGGGTACCGGGCTGCCCGGACTGGAAAGGGAACCAGCGAATGAGACCCGGCAGCCAGGAGAGGCCTGCGATGCAGCTGAGAATGCCTGGAAACCAACCTGACCACACCGAGCCTGACCATACAGACCATACAGGTGGGGCGGGGGGGATGGAGGGAAAGGCTCAGAGAGGGGCAGGGCACAGCAAACCTGACTTCATGCACAGGATAAAGCGGCCTTGAACCCTTGGGGCCCTGATAGGGAAGGAGTGTGCAAGGGGGTGGCAGGGGTGGGGGTGGGGGAGGGGGGGATACCTCTGATCTACTCACCCTGAAGCTCTTGCTCGGAGACTGCCGGGGCGCCCAGCACCTGCCCATGCTCCCAGGTCATCAGCAGCCCCACCAACAGCATCAGTGTCTTCATCTTGCCTCCGATTCCGGACTCCCCGCACGCCTCTGTGTGTGGAGCACAGGACACTGTCATGGCAACGGCTAGCCAGCCTGCTGGGTTCTGGCCCAGCCTGCCGCCCGCCCGCAGCGGCTTCCCAGGAGCCCCGCCGAGGCCTGGCCACCAGCTCTCCCCTCTCGGCAGGCACTGCTGCCTTTTTACCCCCGGGGACGTGGGGAGAAAATATCAGACCTGACAACGGACATTTTCCAAAAGATAGCGGAGGCAGTGGGTACAGGGAGGAACCACAAGACAGCAGCCCGATACAAAAGAAACAGGAGTGCTGGGGTCAGCATCCCGGGCTCAGGGCCAAGCCTTCCTCCCTGCCTCCTGTGGAGCAGCTCGATATGCCTGAGCCAGGCGCACGCACTCGCTGCACCCAGGAAGGGGGTCTATTGGAGGGTACCTGTTCCTATTAAACAAACCCTGAAAACACCCCTTTTGGATCACTCACCGGGCCCTCTCCTGTCCCTCCATCAAGGGGCGGGGGGGCTCCCACAGCTCCACAGCTCCCATGGGCATCACTACTCCTGCCCCAGCAGCCATCACCAACCAATCACAGCACGTGTGTGTGTGTGTGTGTGTGTGTGTGTGTGTGTGTGTGTGTCCCAGCGCCACCTAAAACCAGTTCCAAGCGTCTGAAGGCGCCTCTGGCCAACCCTTTGGGTAAGCACAGGAGAACAAATCCGTCATTCCCCAGGGTGGGTATATACCAAGAGTGGAGCCAGGAAGGAAAGAAAACTGTCTTTAGGAAGTAGATAGGGAAGGGTGAAGTCACATGGGGACAAAGGGGCCCTGGGGCCTCCCCAGAAGCAGCCCCTCTGCGGGGACACGGCCTCCGCTCTGCCAGGTCCCTTTCCCATGGCCCAGTCCCTCTCATCCATGGCGGGGTGCGCTGCCAAGGTGTCCCTGCCGCCGCTCTGGGCCGGCTGCCCTGAGCCCGGAGACAGCCAGTCTTACACAACAGACCCTTTCCCAGAAGCTGGAGTGGTTACATAAGAAGCCCCTCCCCGCTGTAATCTGCCCCCACCCCCACCCCCAACTGCTTATCCTAACTCACCCATTTCCCACAACAGAATGGGAGTGGGGTGCCCCCTTCCTGAGGTTGTGCGCATCCAAAAGCTGCTCTCAGCTCAGCAGGCCCGTCTGGACAGGAGGCGGGACATCCCTAAGGCAAGCCTCTCATGACAGCCATTAGCATGGCAGCGATCGTGGTTCCCCAACCAGCTGCACGGTGCCCATGAGCAGCAGGGAGGAAAGAGCGGGTCATGGCCTTTCCTGACGACAGACAGGTGGGCGGCTGAGCCAGGGCGAGATTTCAGGCCCGCAGGAAGGTCCCGGTCTAGCAGGCTCTGCCCCGGCTGCTCGCTGAGGCCTGAAACGCCTGAAGCAGGGACAGAGCCTTTGTCACGCCAGAGAGAGAAAGCCGGTGAAAGAGACCATTCCCGGCGAGGCCCCTGGTAGCAAGGACTTCTGAGAAGTGCAGAAGACAGGGCATTGGGCCATGAAGAAAGGGGAGGGAGGGTGACAAAAAGCAAGAGCACTGGATGAGGAGTCCAGAAATCCAGCAGCCAGTGACAGGGCCTCCCAACAGGAGCCTGGGCTTCATGGGAAGCCATCGACCTCGGAGCCAGGAAAGAGATCCGTCTTCTGCTCAACCTCTCTGCTCCAGAGAAAGAATGGGGTTCCTCAAGGCCCTCAGCAAGCTCGTGGCAACCCCAGGATGAGAACCCAGCTCTCCTGATCCCCTAGTCCAGAGTTCTTTCCTTGATGCCAAGTCACTTAAGTCTCTGAGCCTCAGTTTCTTTGTCTGTGAAATGGGCCTGACACAAACCTCAGAGAAGGGAATGTGTTCTGTAAGCACAAGGTCTCACAGGATCACAGTGTGAGGTAGGACCCCGTGTGAGCCCTGGCAGTGTCCCCCAGGGAAGTGGGGGCAGGTGGCAGTGTGGAGGGGCGCAGAGGAACAGAAGTGGTCCCTCCCTGGCTGTGGCTTTGCCGATAGGGGCTTAATCACAAGGAACAACAACAGCCTGTAACTGTTGGAATCGAGAGCCCAGGTCAGCGGTCGGCAAACTCATTAGTCAACAGAGCGGCAAACCGTGGCTCTTGAGCCGCAGCAGCTTGCCAACCACTGCGGCTTAGTGAAATGACCTGTTACGTTAGAGTGGAATCACCAGAGAGCAGGGGGCGGATCTCGTTATAACACTGATTCTGAACCTGCTGTTCTAGCAAGCACACAGGTGGCATTGATAATGCTAGTCCCAGGACAGCGCTAGCACAGTGGCTGCACGGCTACCAGCCCTCTCTGTCTTTAAAAATAAATATTTTTTTTTTAGTAATTCATTTGAGAGAGAGAGAAACATCCATTTGTCCCTCCAATTGTTTAAACATTCATTGGTTGGTCCTTGTATGTGCGCGGACTAGGGATCAAACCTGAAACCTTGGTGTGTGGGAATGATGCTCTAACCACTGAGATACCCGATCAGGGCCGTACCTGTCCTCTCTTTGCACTGTCTTGCCTCCCCTTTCATCTCCTGGCCTGGGCTCCTTTCTGGCAACTTTTCGGATTAGACAAGTCACCCCAAAGCCCTCCTCCCCCCCTCACCCTACAGCCTTTCCCCCAGGAGGGCTTACCCACTCAGAGGGAGCCCGGGGAGGACCTGGGGACCTGAGCAGAGCAGTCACACAGCTTATAAACCGCAGGGTTTAAAGCCCAATGCCCACACTCCTCCTCTACTTCCTCCACGAGGGCAGAAAAATAAGCCGAATGAGAACATAGTTCACTTGTAAGTCACACCATCCAGAGCATATATTAGCTCTGGGGAATCTTTCCTCCTTTTTCCTGTGCATTTGCATGCAATCAGATTCTTTACATCCACTAGATCAGATATTCTTTAAAAGTAGGAATCTGTTTGTGGATACCTAATAATAGAGTCCATTTTCTGACATGCTCTGTGCGGCTATCCTGCAAGGCTAGACATTTACATTGTAGTCCCTTGCTATGATAACGAACACCATCACAAGCATCTTTTATTGTATCTGCACCTTTAAAATCCTAATCTTCCTCTTTAAGAAAAATATTAATAATTAATCAGCTTCTTTAAAAAAAAAATAGGTCCAGAAATTCTGGAAGGTCAGGTGGCTCCGGTTCTGATCTCACTTCTGACACCCACCTGCAGTTTATCTCCGGAGCAGGCCCTGCACCTCCCTTGGCTTCACAGTATCAGCTATATGCTGAGCCCGGTGAGTCAGACGTCTGGCGTCTGACTGGGGTTGAGTGACTTTCCCCTGGTGTTCCCTGGCGCATTAGGCAGCTGAAAGAGGAGGACTGATGTGGTTGCAACATATAATTAAATCAAAAGCTTCCTGCTGATAAACACACTACCCGGAGAACCAGAAAATTCTGAAGCAAACAAGGTGATTCAGGCGCGCCAGCTGACAGCACTCCTGGAGATGGTACCTCTAACGAGGGAGATGCTGCAGCCAGAGGGGCAGACTCTGCTGCTCATCATCAGCCGGGGCCTCCCTCTGGCAAGAGCCCTCGGTTCTCCAGGTCTCGGTTCCCCCATCTTTGCAAAAAGAGGCTCCTTGCACCTGTCCTACCTACCCACACAATGGTGGTTTTGCAGCTAAGGAGCCGAATCCCAGCCTGTGCACCGCCCCCAGCAAGCTGGCCTTCTGCCCCGCTGCCTGGGGACAGGGCTCCGGCTGCCTGTCTTCTCAGACTCCGTCCGCTGCACCCACAGATCGGGTGTGACACCCCTAGGACTACTAGCAACCATCTTCTTCTCGCCTGCCTGCCTGCCACCTCACCCGCCCATCGCCCATCGCCCATCGGTCCTCGGCCCCGGAGAGCTCTGCGCAGGGTGGGAAGGTGGGGACCTCTCACCAGTCTGCGGTGCCCGTGCGCTCCTCCTGGCGACGCGGCGTGGTAAGCGCCGTGCGCGCCGTATTTATAGGGATCTGCCTCGTAGACACCCCCTTCGGGGCTGGCTGCAAACCTGCGTGACTCACGCCCAAAGAATGCCGGGGAATGCACGGGAGCTTTCTGGAAGCTGGCGCGGGAGGGGAATGCGGTGCAAGGGTGTGGGGAGGTGGTGGGGGGAAGGGGGGTGAGGCGATCCGGTGCAGCGCCCGGCCTGGGGCGCGGGGAGGCGCAGCGGCGCCGCCGGGAAAGGCTGCTCCGTCTGCAAGGGAGACAGGTCCTGAGGGGCGCCGCCGCCGGGCCCGGCTCCCCGGGGACTCGGAGCTGGAGGACAGCACCCCCACCAGGGAGGGGGCCAGCTGGAGTGCATGCGCACAGCCCCGCGCCCCTCTCCTCAGGGTTCCTGGTGTTCACTGTGCTCCTGGCTGTTCCCAGGTCAAATGAAAGCCCGCAGTTCTGCAGCCCTATTGAAGGTTAATCTTTCCTCTTAAACACAGGCCCTCCTCTTGTTTCATTTAGGTGGAAAAGACGAAAAAATAACTGGCGTGGCGTGTGGAGGGCTGTTATGCTAAAAGCATGGAGTATGAAGTCCTGACTTCATGGTGCCCCTGACAAGGAGGGGACCCGCCCAGAAGCACTCAGATATCACTATGTCTTGGGGAAGAGGCAGAGCCACCCACTCCGGACCACCAGGATGTATGAGTACCAGGAGAGAGGTCAAGGGGCTGGAGGATGGATCCCTCGCCGGTGGGGGCAGATGGGTGGGCTGGGCAGGGGTGGGCAGCCCTACTGTGGGGGGCCGGCTTTGAAAACCACGCGAGATGGAAGCATTTAGAAGAGACCTGTATGGTCAGGGGCTGGTGTTCCGGTTTGTGATGCTGGGGGTACAGCTTGAGGCCGGGCCCTGGTTGTCCAAAGTCAAGGGGCTGCTAAGAACCCACCCTTCTTCAGGAGGGAACCTGGAGGAAGCTTTTGGCCCTGTGAAGCAGGAAGGAACCTGAACATGGGATTCTGACTGTAGTCTCAGCTCTGCACCGAGGGGCTGGGTGACGTTGGACCTCAAGGGTTCTGTTCCTTC